GGGAAGATTAGTGACCTGCCTTAGGGCAAGTGAAAGGAGGGTAGAGAAGTCAGGCCTGCCCGGAGGCCTGACACACCTGACGTTATCATGGAAGCCTGTGACAGGGCAGCCCAGGCAGGAACCAGTACCTGTCATAACACCACACCTGCGGATAGGCGCCTTGCCCCCAAATTGCAACACCGTCTGCTCATGTTTCACTCTTTCCCACCAGCAGTTTTCAGCACACACGTCCGCCTACTCCATGCCTTGATGCTCTTGATGCCCTTTGCCAGCCCCGCTCTGTTTCCTGTGAGGGTCTGTGTCTGCACAGTGGCATCTCTGGGGCAGGTGGAGGCCTTCTCTGTCTTACTGCTTCCAGGTCTGTCTGGAGGGCTGCTTGTGTCCCTCTGGGTGAGTTTGTTTTTATTGTTGGGATCCATGCTCCTGACCCCAAGGTTCCACATCTGTGGCCTGTCGTAGAACCTGCTCGCTCACAAGTGCCCAGGCTCTCGGGAGCTCCTGGCCCGGCCTCTGCTGCACCAGCTCCTGCTGTCCTTCACGGTTCGGAAGAGTCTTTGTTTTCTGTCTTTGTCTCGGGGCTGCCATCTAGATGTTTTCTTTTTGTTTCATTCATTCTCTTTTCAGCTGAAGTAATCTGCTTAATGCAGCCACGGAGGTTTTATTTTCAGTCCCCATGTTTTTACCTCTAGAAGCTCAATTAGTTTTTCAATTAATTTCTTTTTAATTTAAAAGAAGTGGAATCCACTTCAGAGGGGTAAACCTCACGTGGAGTAGGTGGTGAGCTAGTTTCTTCTGCATAGATACTGTTTGCTTCTGTGAGTGCCGGGGGACGCTGTGGGCCGCAGAGGGTGCAGCCCGCTTAGGAATCGAGGCCACCCTCCCAGGCACAGCCTCATCTCTATGCTCCATCCTTTCCTCCCAAGAACACCTCGTGGTTTCTAGCTCTTGGGGATTATATGACATTTTTATGGGCTCTGCTATTTACTTATTTTTATTTTTGGGACAGGGTCTCACTCTCCCACCCAGGCTGGAGTGCAGCGGCACCCGTACAGCGGCACCCGTACAGCTGACTGAAGCCTCAGCCCTCGCAGGCATAAGCGATCCTCCCACCACAGCCTCCCAAGTAGTTGCGGCTGCAGACGCACACTGCCACACCAGGCTCATTTTTAAATTTTTTTGTAGAGACGGGGGTCTCACTATACTGCCAAGGCTGGTCTCAAACTCCTGGCCTCAAGCAGTCCTGCTGCTGGGCCTCCCAGAGTGCTGGGATTAGAGGCATGAGCCACTGCAGGCAGCCATGGGTTAGGGTACCAGTTTTCCTTTTGAAAGATAATCCTATGGGCTTAAATGTGCTCTAAAAGGATGGGATTTGTAGTTCTGCTTTTGTGTTTACAAACATTTTAAGAAGTTATTTTCTTGGCCGGGTGCAGTGACTCACTTTGGGAGGGCCACAGATCACCTGAAGTCTGGAGTTCGAGACCATCCTGGCCAACATGGTGAAACCGTGTCTCCACCAAAAATATTAAAAAAGTAGCTGAGCGTGGTGGCACATGTCTATAATCCCAGGTACTCAGGAGGCTGAGGCAAGAGAATTGCTTGAACGAGGGAGGTGGAGATATAGTGAACTGAGATGGCATCACTGCACTCCAGCCTGGGTGACAGAGCTAGATGCCATCTCAAACAAAAAGTTGTAAATTTGGATTGTAGTGATGGTTTCACAATGTGTAAATTTACCAAAAATCATCAAATTGATTTTAAATAGGTGAATGTTATGGTTTGTAAATTAGACCTCAGTAGAACTGCTAAAAAAATTAATGGGGCATGTCAAAAAACACATGTCCCAGCTTTAAAGATATGGCACCATTTGGAAATAAAGACAGCCATAAATTTTAAGTCGGTGAAAAAATACAGGAGTCCATGGGTCCAGTGTGATAATAAAGAAAAAATGAATGTACAGGAAGGCAGGGTTCTCCCCTCCTACAGGTGACAGATGGGAAAGTGAGCAGCACCTGTTGTGTGCCTGTGAGAGTGGGGGCTGGCTCCGTGAGCCCAAGGACGGGAGCGAGGTGAGGAGCAGGAGGACACTGCTGCTCTCAGGGTGTCTCCCTGGGACTGCTCACTTGTAGCCAGTGGAAACAGGAACTACACGGTCCCTTGGCCAGGGCATCCCAGTGAGCAGCAACGAGGAGGGGCAGTTTTCCACCAGTTGTTCAGGCTTCACAGGGATTTCTGGTTATTTCAAATTGGATGTTTCTTAAACGGCATCAAACGCTAGTTTGTTTATGTCAGGAAACACTTGGGTTTTTTCCTAACGATTGCCTTGTAGTGTAGTCTTAGGGAACACAAGAGAAGCCCTCCTTCTAAAGTGCCCTCCAGAAGCAGGTGTGGCTCAGCTCTTCCTGGTGACCCCCAGCACGCTAGTAATGCCCAGTCCTCAGCCCGCAGCCCTCACTTGCTGGGCCCTGAGCCCAGGGTGCTGGCTGGTGGCCTTGGAGGACCAGATTGCCAGGAGCACCCTGTGGCCCTTGGTGTCAGCACCATACCCCGCTTTTCTGGAGGCTGCTGGTATCTGCTTCGGACCCTGAGAAAGAAGTGGGTTTGGGAGTGGTCTGCTAAGGGGTTCTGGAACTTGGAGTCCTCAGTGGGTCCTGTGAGTCACTGCCTGAGGTTGTGCCTGTAATCGATTATAGGAGAAATGCTCACACCCCTTGCTCCTATTCCCACATGTGCTGTGTCCCCCTCTGATGGATTCCCGCCCCTCTTCAGTTTCTCCGGATCTGCGCTGACCTCTTCCGCCTGGTGCCATTCCTTGTGTTTGTGGTGGTGCCCTTCATGGAGTTCCTGCTGCCTGTGGCTGTGAAGCTCTTCCCCAACATGTTGCCCTCCACATTTGAGACCCAGTCCATCAAGGTAAGGGCAGCAGCCCAGTTGCTTTTGTAGAATGAGCCTGAAATTCATTGTGATAGCTGCCTTGTTTGTGACTGTTTCAGGTGCTAGATATTTTTAAGGCTTTATGTATCTTCATATCGTCCTGTGCAATAATTATTTCGTGAATGCTGGTTTTGGATTTGTTTCTCTTTATTTATTTTTGAGACAGAGTCGCTCTGTCACCCAGGCTGGAGTGTAGTTGTGTGATCTCAGCTCACTGCAACCTCTGCCTCCAGGGTTCAAATGATTCTCTTGCCTCAGCCTCCCAAGTAGCTGGGATTACAGGTGTGTGCTACCACACCCAGCTAATTTTTTGAGACAGGGTCTCGTCCTGTCACTCAGGCTGGAGTGCAGTGGCATGATCACGGCTTGCTGTGGCCTCAAGTTCCTGGACTCAAGTGATCCTCTTGTCTCAGCTCCCGAATAGCTGGGACTACAGGCTGAGCCACCATGCCCGACTGATGTTTTTTGTTTTTTATAGACAGGGTCGGCTACATAGGGTTGGCCATGTTGCCCAGGCTGGTCTCAAACTCCTAGGCTCAAGTAATCCTCTTGCCATGACCTCCTAAAGTGGCATTACTATGCGTGTGAGCCACTGCTTCCAGCTAAGTATGTTTTAAAATAGTTTTTCTAGACCAGTGTTCTTCATGCTGTAGGGAATTTGTGAGGTCCTTCCAGGCCAGAGTCAGCCAGCTGCAACCCACAGGCCAGATCCAGACCCTGCCTGTTGTTCTCAGTAGAGTACTGTGGGGACCTGGATGCCGGGTCACGTGTCTTGTCTCTGGTGGCTTCTGTGAGGCACCAGCAGAGGTAAGCAGTTGTTTTAGATTATACAGCCCATGAAGGCCAAACGCTTTCCTGTCCAGACCTTTACGGGAAGTATGATCATGGGTTTTGTTTATTTTTTGAGACGGAATTTCACTCTGTCACCCAGGCTGGAGTGCAGTGGTGTGATCTTGGCTCACTGCAACTTCCACCTCCCGGGTTCAAGCGATTCTCCTGCCTCAGCCTCCCAAGTAGCTGGGATTACACGTATGCATGCCTGGCTAATTTTTGTGTTTTTAGTAGAGATGGGGTTTTGCCATGTCCAGGCTGGGCTCGAACTCTTGACCTCAGGTGATCCTTCCACCTCTGCTTCCCAAAGAGCTGGGATCATAGGCATGAGCCACCATGCCTGGCCCACACGGGTTTTTTTTGTTTTTCTGGTATTGTTTTTTTTTTGAGATGGAGTTTCACACTTGTTGCCCAGGTTAAATTGCAATGGCACAATCTCAGCTCACTGCAACCTTCACCTCCCGGGTCCAAGTGATTCTCTTGCCTCAGCCTCCTAAGTAGCTGGGATTACAGACTTGTGCCACCACGCCCGGCTTATTTTTGTATTTTTAGTTGTGACGGGGTTTCTCCAAGTTGGTCAGGCTGGCCTTGAATGTCTGACCTCAGGTGATCCGCCCCCCTCAGCCTCCCAAGGATATTTTTTTAAACTATGAAATAAAAGAGTTTGAGAATTTATTGCACTTAGATGAGAGTCAGTGTTTTGTGAAATGTTTCTGGGGGTGGGCTGGGGGCAGGCATGAGATGCTTTCCTTGTCCAAACCATAGTCTGAGCAGTTGGAGTACACTCCTGAGCCCACCGTCTTGGAGGCCCCAGGATCTAGGGGCCGGCAGGAGAGACTGGGGCCTGGAGTGCAGCACCCTCTCTGCCCTTGCAGGAGGAGAGGCTGAAGAAAGAGCTTCGGGTCAAGCTGGAGTTGGCCAAGTTCCTCCAGGACACCATCGAGGAAATGGCCTTGAAGAACAAGGCAGCCAAGGGCAGTGCCACCAAAGACTTCTCCGTGTTTTTCCAGAAGGTGCTGTGATGTGTCTGAGCCCCTGTGACCTCACCAGGGACCCCTCCTTGCTTTCTCTGTTTCCTCTTCGCTGTGCTCAGCAGAGAAGAGCTCCCCTAGGCAGCTCAGTGCAGGGGCTGGTGAAGTGTCAGGAGTCTGGCCCCGTGAGCTCCCAGTGAGTTGAGCTGTGGTACCTGCGCCTCATCAGCCTTCAGGATCACGTGTGTCTATGTCTCGTCACCTTTCAGCCATCCAGGCGCAGTAGAATCTGACCCATGAGGAGCCTGACACCTGATGTTGTAAGGTGTGGGTGACAGGGCTGGCTCCTCTGCCGGGCACCGCCCTCTGGCTGGAGTCAGTCAGGAAGGTCCCAGGTCCCAGGGGCTGGGAAGAGGCCTGGACTTCAGGAGCAGTGGGGGCTGGAGAGGAGGGTTGGTCCTCGAGGTTTCCTGTGGTCATGTGGCCAGTGAGGTAAGGTTGGGAGAGAGGGTGGGTGCCACACACAAGATCCCTGAGGACTAGGTGGGACTGACGAGGCTAGTGTCTTTGGCTTGAGGGAACTCGTGCCACTTTGGAGTCACAAAGATGTGTCTGAAGTGCAGAAAGAGCTGAAACCAGGGGCTAGAAACTCCAGGCACATGCGTTTATCATCTGTGGGGTTTTGCCGCTACGGCACAGAGGCAAGTGGGTTCCATGGCTGCAAAGGCAGAAATGCTTGCTGTCTGGCCCTTGACAGAAAAGGCTGCCAGGCGAAGGTCTAACCACAGAGAAGCCTCTCGGAGGAGGTGTCACAGCCATGGGGCTGCTGAGCCCCCCGAGGAGTGAGTGTGGTTCCAGCAAGAGGTCCTGGGGGCAGTCATACTTTGGAAGCCTCGCCCAGGATGCGGCGCCTTGCAGAGCAGAAGGAGGGGCTAATCCCAAGCTTTCCTGGGCCTCCCAGCTGCCAAGAAAGACATGCTTGCAGTCACTGCTTTGGGATGTGCTGTGCAGGGTGGCCCCCAGGAGTGCGCCTGCCACCTTGTGTCGGAGCTGGCGTCCTGCATGTTACAATTTGAGTTGAGCGCCAAGTCGGGCTTGTTCTCCCTCATCTGCCCTCTCTGCTAGGGATCCTCCTACCCTGGCTCTTGGAGGAGACTGAGCTGGTGGCTTGTCCCTCAGGTGGGAGGAACTGCAGAGGGTCACCCAAAGGGCCCTGAAGAGCTAGATGGTCTCCCCACCCCCGAGGCTCTGGTGGTCATCCCTGGGAGGTGCAGGTGCACACAGGTGCGCCTCTTCCTGTCCCAGAGCAGCAGGGTCCTGGCCGCTTCTGTGGCAGAGAGAGGATCACAGGACCTGCATGCAGCAGCTGGTGGGCCCCGGCCTCCCCCGCAGCAGACACAGCAGCCTCGAGTGTGCTGGCTGAGGCAGGAGAGGTCCAGGGGCCAGGCACTGCCTCTCCCTTGGCTAGCCCAGTACTGGAGCCAGAAGTCAGCATTTTGAGGTTGAGGTAGGCAGATCACTTGAGGTCAGGAGTTCAAGACCAGTCTGGCCAACATGGTGAAACCCTGTCTCTACTAAAAATACAAAAATTAGCCGGGTGTGGTGGTACATGCCTGTAATCCCAGCTACTCGGGAGGCTGAGGCAGGAGAATCACTTGAACCCAGGAGACAGAGATTGTAGTGAACTGAGATTGTGCCACTGCACTTCAGCCTGGGTGACAGAGTGAGACCCTGTCTCCAAAAAGTCAGTGTGGTTTGAGTTCCTGAGGACTAGGAGGCAGCACCCTTTGGGACTGTGGTGGTCATGGGAGGGAGCTGGGTGGGCACGTGCCCGGGTGATGACCTTTGTGACTATTTCCACAGATCCGGGAGACAGGGGAGAGGCCCAGCAATGAGGAAATCCTGCGTTTTTCCAAGTTATTTGAGGACGAGCTGACCCTGGACAACCTGACGCGGCCGCAGCTGGTGGCGCTGTGCAAGCTGCTGGAGCTGCAGTCCATCGGCACCAACAACTTCCTGCGCTTCCAGCTCACCATGCGGCTGCGCTCCATCAAGGCCGACGACAAGGTGAGCAGCCACACTCCACGCTGCAGCTGTGGCCTTCCAACTTTTTTCTCCTGGTGACAGAAGCAGCGTGTCCTCGCTGTAGAAACTCTGGAAGATGCTGAACGATGGAAAGTAAGCTCACTGGGAGCCTTGCCACCCTTGCCACTTGCAGATCACAGATCCTTTGAAGATGGGTGTCTTTTCTCTGGCAGCTTCTTGGAGGATCTCCCTGTGTCTGGATTTTGTCAGTGTTATAATAACGTGCCCAGGTGTGTGTCTTCCTGCTTATTGATGACAGCGCCTCCATGCCTCTCTCCTCCCCTCGGGGGCCTCGTCCAGGGTCTGTTTGCCTCTTTGCTGTCCTGTCCATCCCAGCGCCTGTGTGTTTCCCACCCTTTTGTGCTTTCAGGGTGCTGCTCTCCTGGGTCTGATTACTCTCTTTTTTTTTTTTTTTTTTTTTGAGACAGAGTTGCCCAGGCTTGTTGCCCAGGCTGGAGTGCAGTGGAGTGATCTCGGCTCACTGCAACCTCCGCCTCCTGGATTCAAACAACTCTCCTGCTTCAGCTTCCCAAGTAGCTGGGATTACAGGCATACACCACCACGCCCAGTTAATTTTTTGTATTTTTAGTAGAGACGGGGTTTTGCCACGTTGGCCAGGCTGGTCTCAATCTCTGGACCTCAAGTGATCTGCCTGCCTCGGCCTCCCAGAGTATTGGGACTACAGGCATGAGCCACTGCGCCTGGCCTGATTACTCTTTTTTTTCTTTTTTTTGAGACGGAGTCTTGCTCTGTCACCAGGCTGGACTCCCTGGTTCAAGTGATTCTCCTGCCTCAGCTTGCCGAGTAGCTGGGACTACAGGTGTGTGCCTCCATGCCCAGCTAATTTTTGTATTTTTAGTAGGGATGGGGTCTCACCATGTTGGCCAGGATGATCTCGATCTCTTGACCTCATGGTCCAGCCGCCTCGGCCTCCCAAAGTGCTGGGATTACAGGCGTGAGCCACGATGCCTGGCCGATTACTCTTTTATTCATATTAGGAGCTCTTAATTTAAGATTTCAGTTCTCAGGTAAAAGTTTTTGTCTTATCATTTGTTTTTCTTGAATGCACTAACCCTAGTTCATGTCAATTACTCTAATAACTGGGTGGTCCATAGGTCTTTTTCTTTTGCTTTCCCTTTTGGTTTTGTTTGTAGTGTTGAGTTTTTCCTGAATGCAGGCATTGTCTGTGGAAGAGATTCAGGGCAGTGTTGGCCTCTTCCAGGAAGGGCCTGCCTGCATCTCTGGTAAGCAGGTTGAGGCCTGGTCGTTTCCACGAATCAAGGTGAGGCCATGTGAGGAGCCTGCATCCCACCCTCGCTGGGGCTCAGCAGGCACCCCAGCCCTCGTGGGGATGATGTCAGAGAAGGCTGAGGGGGGCCAGCCAGGCAGGGGGCTTGAGCTTCCCTCTCACCTGACAGTGTATCGGTTGCACTCCCCCAATGCTGGGGTGGCCTTGGGGGCCCAGTGGAGACTTGGGACTTTGCCCACTGTCCAGCAGAACAAGGCCATGTCCACTGTGGTGCCAATGGGAGCCAAGTGGGACACAGTGTTGAGGTGCGTCTGCCCTCCTGCCAGGAGAAACACCTGTGAGGGCCAGAACTCCCACCCACCCGCTCCCAGCAGTAGCAAGCAGCACCGCCCTCTCGAGGGTGTCTTCAGAGGCTAGGCAGGGAGTCTGCACTTCTCATGAGGCAGCGCTGCAACCACCTCTACACTACGTCTAGGCTTTAGCTTGTGGACGTGAGTGAGTAACAGCATGGAGAGGTCAGTGCCACTGAGAGAAATGTGCTACCCACAGCTCCCCTGTCCCTCGGCTCCATGAAGCCTCCACACCCATGGGGAGCAGGAAGCTGGTGGGGACGGTGCCTGCCTGCCTTGTGTGCGGCAGGTGGAGACGTGTATGGCTGGGCAGGGAGGGAAACAAACATGAGGGTTTATGGTTGGTTCGTGAAAGCTGGACCACAGGGAGGTGGAAACAGTCTTGGCCTTGTTAGCTTGGCCCTGGGATTAATGGATTCCAGATCATCAGTTGTACAAACTGTGCAAATTAGAATACCCACTGCCCATGCCACCACACCCTAGAGGAGGTCAGCGACAATAAACTGGAAATCAGATCTAGATTCAAGAAGCAGGAAGGTATCAGAGAATGAGAAAAGGCCGCACCTGGTAGCAACCCTGAGATGACAGGTCAGAGAGCCTGCACCGGGGCCTCAAACAGCCAGAGCTTCAAAAGCCACAGAAGGAAACACGTGAAAAATCGGTCTTGGCAAAGAGAGAGAAGAAAAGATAGTAAGATATTATCAAATACTAATAATATTAAGAGAAGATATTAAGGTCAGGCACAGTGGCTCTATAATCCAGCACTCTGGGAGGCCATGGAGGGAGGATTGCTTGAGCCCGGGAGTTTGAGACCTGCCTGGGCAACATAGTGAGACCCCACCTCTACAAAAATAATTAAAAAATAGCTGGGCATGATGACTCCAGCTACTCAGGAGGCTGAGGCAGGAGGTTTGCTTGAGCTTGGGAGGTTGACGAAGCAGTAAGCCATGATTGTGTCACTGCACTCCAGCCTGGACAACAGAGGGAGACTCTTGTCTCTTAAAGTAATAATAATATTAATAATACCAACAAAAGTTTTTAAAAGAAGAACCAAATGAAAACTTAGAACTGAAAAATACAAAAACCAAAATGAAAACCTGAGTGGGCTCAATAGCAGAATGGAGAAGGTAAAAGAAACAGTAAACTAAGATAAAATGATAGTTTATCTTACCCATTTGGACAACAGACCACTGGAGCAAAACGGCAACTTTACCATTAGGGGAAAATAGTAGAAAACATTGGGGCTGGGCGCGGTGGCTCATGCCTGTCCTCCCAGCACCTTGGGAGGCCGAGGCAGGCAGATCACGAGGTCAAGAGATCGAGACCATCCTGGTCAACATGGTGAAACCCCGTCTCTACTAAAAATACAAAAAGTTAGCTGGGCATGGTGGTGCATGCCTGTAATCCCAGCTACTCAGGAGGCTGAGGCAGGAGAATTGCCTGAACCCAGGAGGCAGAGGTTGCGGTGAGCCAAGATCACGCCATTGCACTCCAGCCTGGGTAACAAGAGTGAAACTCTGTCTCCAAAAAAAAAAAAAAAAAGAAAACCTTGAACAGAGCTGTAGCAAGCGTAGACCATCTGTGTTATCCGATAGTCCAGGGGAGAAAGGATAGAAGCAGGGCTGAAAAAGTACTTGAAGAAATAATGGTTGACTGAAAACTTCCCAGGCTCAGTTAAAGATGTGAAACTGCAAATTTCAGAAGCTGAGTGAACCCTGAATGGGATAAATCCAAATAAATTTACACCAAGACACATCAGTGTCAAAGTAATGAACCCTGAAGACAAATAGTTTGGTTTTTTTTTTTGGCGGAGTCTCGGTCTGTTGCCCAGGCTGGAGTGCAGTAGCACCATCTCGGCTCACTGGAACCTCCGCCTCCCAGGTTCAAGTGATTCTCCTGCCTCAGCCTCCTGAGTATCTGGGACTACAGGTGCACGCCACCACGCCTGGCTTTTAGTAGAGATGGGGTTTTACCATGTTGGCCAGGCTTGTCTCCAACACCTGACTTGTGATCCACCCGCCTCAGCCTCCTAAAGTGCTGGGATTATAGGCATGAGCCACCACACCCAGTGACAAATAGTTTTTATGGCAGTGAGAGAAAGGCATCATGTGCATGTGTGTGTCGGGGGGGGAGTTGTGTGTATGTAGTTGTGTGTGTGTGTGGTTTTGTGTGGCTGTGTATGTGTGTGTGGTTCTGTGTGTGTGTGTGGTTTTGTGTGGTGGTGGTTGTTTCATTTATGAGTCCCAGGTCTTTTTTTGGTGGGGGATGGTGGAAGATGGGGTCTTGTTCTGTTGCCCAGGCTGGAGTGCAGTCTAGTGGCACAATCTCAACTCACTGTACCCTTGACCTCTCCAGCCTAAGCCATCTTCCCACCTCTTCCCCACAAATAGCTAGGACCACAGACATGCACTGCCACACCCGCCTAGTTTTATTTTTCTTGTAGAGATGAGGTCTTACTGTTATGCTGGCCAAGCTGGTCTCAAACTCCTGAGCTCAAGTGATTCTCCTACCTTGGCCTCCTAGTGTTGGGATTACAGGCATGAGCCACTGTGCCCGGCCAAGACCCACATCTTTACCATTAGGGGAAAATTTGAATGACAGTGGGTTTCTCATCAGGAACTGTGGAGATCAAAGGAAGTGGAGCATTGTTTTTCAAGTGTTAAAAGAACTGTCAACCCAGGATCTATAACCCGCAAAAATATAGCAATGAGGGGGAGCCAAGGCAGTATCAGAGAGAGGGAAGCTAAGACTGTCAGCAGCAGACCGCTGCTAGAGGAAGCTCTCCCACCTGAAAGGAAGCAGTGAGATCAAGCACCTATGCACAGCAGGAAGAGCTCCCAGCAAGCAGAGCGAGGGTCGGCTTGGTGGGCTGCGCTCTCCCTGCGCCTTCTGCAGAGAGCAGGCTGAGGGACACGTTCCACAGTGCGGGTGGAGGCGATAGCTGAGACTCAGGACACGGAGAGGAGGCTTCAGCTCTTGCCTCCGTGGGTGGAGCACTGGCCCCACTGCACTACGGTGAGCTGCGTCCGTGGATTATATATCGTGATCCCCAGAGCAACTGAAAATGCTGCACAGAGACCCCAGACCACGAGAGCAAAATCAAATGGAGGTCAGCCAGCCTGCAGGAGGACAGGAAGAAGAAAGCAGCTTCCTTTCTGCTAAACCGGAAGCAGCCCAGCTCAGTGGGCAAATGGTTCGGCTAAGGAAGGCACACCTGTGTGGAATGTTGCGTGGCAGTCAGAGGCCTGACCTGGCAGACCCACAACACCCCGATGGGTCTTCAGGGAACCCCAGAAGTGACGACCTGCATGATCATTCAGAGAGCGCTCTGGGTGACAGCTGCAGACGCGGAGACGAGCGTGTCTATGAGCCGGCAGCGCCGGGAGCTGGGGAAGGCACCTCTGTCTTCACTGGGTGGGTGCTTTGTGCTTATTGCAGTGCTGTTGGTGAGGTGTCATGCTCGGAGAGACATCTTATGCATGGGAGCTCTGTCACTTGTTACAACTGGATGTGTGTGCACAGTTACATCAAGCTTAGTTTTGGAAGTGGAGATCGAGGTACTGCCTACCCCACGGGGGATTGTGAGGCAGAGTGGACTCTGAAATGGGGGCACTGCTGCAGAGTCCTGGCGTGGGAGCCCTGTTGCGGGCGAGGTAGCAGCGGGCATATGCCTAGCAGGGGCTGTCACTCCTTCTCTGTGTCTCTCTTCACCTGCTGCTCCCTGTATGCCTCTGTCTTCTGTACCGGGACTCCTGTTTGCTTTTCCATGTGGGGTCACCATGACCTTGGGCTGAGTGGAAGAGAGGGGCTCTTGGGGCATGAGGTCAAGATGCATCTTTGGAGTGTCTGGTTCCCCTCTCTTTTCCCCTCCCTCCTCCTCTTTCCTTACTGGGCACCCTTTGCAGATGGTGAACTATAGGAATCAGCAGAAACAGCAGGTAGCAGGAGGGGCCAGGGTGGGGCTGGTTCTGCCGTCAGCAGCACAGAGGGTGGAGGTGGACTTCTTTGTGTCATGGGCTTGGTCGTGGCCATTCTGCACTCCCCAGGATCCTGACCCTATGTCACAGGGTTCCAGTCACTTCAGACCCAGAACTGGGCTAAACCTGTTAGCCATTCACTCTGGAGGGTGTGTGCATAGATACCGTGACCCACCAGCCACCGTCCCGGTTGAGAATTCACTGCTTTGTTTTCTAGCTGATTGCTGAGGAAGGGGTGGACAGCCTGAATGTCAAGGAGCTGCAGGCGGCGTGTCGGGCACGAGGCATGCGGGCCCTGGGCGTCACGGAAGACCGCCTGCGGGGCCAGCTGAAGCAGGTACGTGAGTGCTTACTTTCTGCCAGCCCAGCATGGGCTCAAGGGAAACTTCAGCCTCCAAAGGGCACCTGGAGGCTCTTCTCAAACTCTGGGCGGGCCTGGCAAGGTGATACTGTGACGTCTCTGGGAACAGCTGGGAAGTTGGGGCTGTTTCTTGCCCTTCTGGTCTTACCACACTCACATACACCCCATGTTCTCTCCTTTTGTTGCCTTTTCAATATTGCTTTGATTTTTCTTGTCTGCTTTTAGTTGATTTTAAAGACCTTAATAACTATGTTGGTTATCTGTAGTCAGATGAGGACTGGAGTTCACCTCTGAGATGTTGGATGTGTTCACATTTTGACTGTCTAAACTGGGGGCCGTGGAAGGTTTAGGTGGCATGACCTGGTCTGAGCAGGTACCTGGTTCCCACTGCCATCACATCGAGTGGCTTGTATGTCGGGAAGTGACAGCCCCGGCCGCTCACCCTTACATGGAAAGAATAAGGGGTGCAGGGCTCCAGCCATTTTCCTCCCAGCTGCCCTGGCAGCGGTGTGCCCTTGTTGACAGGCTTCCTCCTGCCAGGCTTTTCACACAACCTGCAAATGTAGATGAAGGTGTGTGAACACACTTCCACTCTTGATGCAGACAGTGTCGATGGCGTGATCCTGTAGCAGGTGTACCGCCCACTGTCACCCACTGCCTTCCACAGCTGTGTCTTCCATCTGATTCCCCCCCAGAGCCTTCTCTGTGTCTGGCCTGGGTGCTGACCTCCCTGGCACTCTGCCCAGCCTTCTGGAGCTCAGTGGGGACATGGGCCGCACACAGGGGTGTCTGAGCAGGGGGGCAGGTGCCATCCCTACCCAGGCCCCTGGGGCCCCCAGGGGAGTCTTGCTCGTTGGGGGCCTGCATATTGTGCATTCACACTTTCCTTCTCTACCCACTTCTCCTCAGCTTTCTCTTAGGGTTTGTTCTCATGTTTTGCCGTGTTCACTTTGTCTCCAACCATTGTTACAGTCTTTTTGCCCATTTGAAGATTGTCTTGGTGTCACTCAAGCAGCCAGCCCTGGAACCTGACCTGTGCGGGGCATGTGGGCACCCAACTGCTGACCGGCCTCCATGATGCTGCCTCTGCGGGCCTGCTTTATGTTGACCTCGGCTGGTTTTGTTTGTTTGTTTGTTTGTTTGTTTGAGACAGTCTTGCCCTGTCATCCAGGCTGGAGTGCAGTGGTGCGACTTCCACTTGATACAACCTCCACCTTCCGGGTTCAAGCAATTTTTGTGCCTCAGCCTCCCAAGTAGCTGGGACTACAGGCACACACCAGCACCACCATGCCCGGCTAATTTTTCTTATGTTTTTAGTAGAGACGAGGTTTCACCATCTTGGCCAGGCTGGTCTCAAACTCCTGACCTCATGATCGACCCGCCTCAGCCTCCCAAAGTAACCTGGGGTGTGTTTAAGTGAAAAGTTGGTGCCCTTTTCTGAGGCCCTTGGGGGCCTCGCTGTGGGGGCTCCGGAGCCCCTGAGCCTCTCCAGTGTTGCGTTTACTAACGCAACATCATCGGATCACACAGCAGAGTAACAAGTAGACCTTTTAGAACTTGAGACACCGTCTTCTCTGAGGCTGTTCTGGTGATGAGGGGGGTTGACCTGCTGTGGTAGCGGCAGGGTCGGGGCTGCCCCTTTACTGAATCTGGCCTTGGCTGCAGTGGCTGGACCTACACCTGCATCAGGAGATCCCCACGTCTCTGCTCATCCTGTCCCGGGCCATGTACCTCCCGGACACCCTCTCGCCAGCCGACCAGCTCAAGTCCACACTGCAGACCCTCCCAGAGATTGTGGTGCGTGCTGTTGGAAACCCTTTTACTTCATCTCTTTGTAGGTGGCCCCTCTCTTCCAGGGTAGAGGGAGGCGTGCAAGAGCACTCATTCCTCAACCGTGGGCGGAGAGCCCCCCCCATCCACCCAGCCTCCTTCCCACCCCTCACTAGTGCCCCCACCCAGCCTCCTGTCCCTTCCCTTCCATCCCTCTCACCAGCCCCGCACCTGCCGTCTCCCACACGTGGTCCTGACCTGGCCACGTGCTGGCTGCCGTGGGTCTGTGCCTCGGCCCTCGGAGCTGTGCCAGTAGTGCTTGTGCTCCTTCCCTGCACGTCAGGAGTCATTGGGTGACCACAGAGGGCAGTCCAGCGGCCTCCCAGCAATTGCGGGCAGCACCACTGCAGTGCCTTCTGTCCCTTGTGTGTGACGCCCGGGTGGTGACAGCACTCAGGGATATAGGGTAGAGGGCAGAGGTTAGGGGCAGCAGGGGCCTCTGGTGGCTTCTGGGGCTCACCCACAGGTGCACCCTCTTCTGAAGGCAAAGGAAGCGCAGGTGAAAGCAGCCGAGGTGGAGGGCGAGCAGGTGGACAACAAGGCCAAGCTGGAGGCCACCCTGCAGGAGGAGGCAGCCATCCAGCAGGAGCACCTTGAGAAGGAGCTGCAGAGGCGCTCGGAGGCAGCGGTGAGCGTGGCTCTGCTCCACGGGGCGCGAGGCTGTCCCAACCCAGCCTCCTTAGAAACCCCCACGTGCCCACAGGCTTGGCCCTGCCGTTCTATCCTGCATATTTGTTTCCTCCTGGAGTGGTCAGAGAGATAGGGTCCCTGGGTGTGGGGGCTGCAACTCTGACATGGGGACTGCCTGATGGCCACAGTGGTGCTCACGGGAGAGGTAGCTTCGCCGTCTCAGAGGGGCTGACTCAGCACACGGCAGTGCCTGCCTTCTCCCGAGGTACTTTCTGTGAGGGGCGCTGGCAGAGCAGCCTCAGGCTCCCCCAGGCTCTGGGCCCCTCTTCATTGTGGGCCCTGTGGTCCTTTGGGTCCCATGCATGGTGCCCACCCACAGGCTCAGCCTCCTGCTCTGCAAGTGACGGGGCAGCTTCGTGGAGTCATGGGGAGACCAGAGACGGGCAAGGTGCTCTGGCCCACTCCTGAGAGGGCCTCAGCTGACCTGGCAGCTGTATGGGACCTCCCTAGGGACATCCTGTGGCAGGCATACTGCCCGTTGTCACCTGTAGCCTGCTTCCAGGGTGGCCTCTGCCGTTTGTGCTGAGCGTCAGGTAGCCGGAAGGCTGCTTCTGTGTGACGGCGGGTACCGGGCTGGTGTCACCTTGCCTTTCAGAAGGATATTGAGCTTGAAGGTGTGGAAGCCGCTCCCCGAAGGGCAGGGGCCGAGCCACAGCCAGAAGTGCCTGACACAGCCCTGCAGTCAGAGACCCTGGAGGACACAGCCCCCGTGCTGGAGGGCTTGAAGGTAACGAGGCGGGTTCTGGGGCCCTGGAGGCTGAGGAGGGCATGGCCTGGCTTTGTGGACAGTTGTGGGGCAGGGATGTGGTCAGCTTGGCTGGGGCACTTATAGCCCTCGGTGAGAGGAGATGGTGAAGGGGTTGAGGACGAGGCTGGTGGACCCCTAGGAGGCTTGGTGGTTGGGAAGAGAGTGAGTCCGGCTGGGCTCTGCACCGTGCCTGTGTGTGTGGCAGCTGAGCCCGCCATGAACTTGGCACCCTGGCCCACGGTGTAGCAGGCTTCAGGCCCCCCCGCCCCGTCAGCTTCCCAGGCAGTGGAGGGGAGTGGCCCCCAATGTGGTACCTCAAGGTGAAACTTCTCCACAGGCCCAACCTGGGATCACCTCCTGTGGAGTGATCTGGGCTTGGGGCATCTTCAGACCCCCCATGCCAGCCTTTGAGGTGCAACCTCTAGGCTCCTGTGCTGCCTACGTGGGACGCCTCCTGGCACCTTCCATCGTGAACTCACAGGCTGGAGTGCAGTGGCACCATCTCAGCTCACTGCAGCCTCAGCCCCCCGGGTTTAAGCAACTTGCCTGCCTCAGGCTCCCAAGTAGGTGGGAGTACAGGCATGCACCACTGGGTACAGACCTGGCTAATTTTTCTATTTTTAGTAGAGATAGGGTTTCACTATGTTGGCCAGCCTGGTCTCAAACTCCTGACCTCAAGTGATTCACCCCCCTTGGCCTCCCAAAGTGCTAGGATTATAGGTATGAGCCACCATACCCAGCCTTAAAAAAAAAAAAAAATTTAACTTTTTAGTTTGTTAAAAATAAAAAAAATCAAAACTATTCTGTAAAAACAATTGTGATCACATGGGATTTGTCCAAAAAATACAGATTGGCTTAATTTTTTTTTTTTTTTTTTGAGTTGGGATCTCACTCTGTCGCCCAGGCTGGAGGGTGGTGACACAACCTCAGCTCACTGAAGCCTTGACCTCCCAGGCTCAAGTGATTCTTTTGCCTCAGCCTCCTAAGTAGCTGGAATTATAGGCACCCACCACCGGCCTGCCTAACTTGTATTTTCAGTAGAGACGAGATTTCACCATGTTGGCCAGGCTGGTCTCAAACTCCTAGCCTCAAGTGATCCTCCCACCTTGGCCTCCCAGAGTGCTGGGTTTACAGGCATGAGAGATCGTGCCTGGCCAAAGTGTTTTCAAATTAATTTCTATATTAACACGAAATTAGAAAAGCCGGAACAATCAGTAGTGCAACTTCCATATTAACAGGCAAAATTACAATAAAGCCAGGAATGATTACCTCGGTAGCTGTAGAAAGAGCCCGGTGTCCTCTCCTGATACGCAGGTGACCTGCAGGTGTGGGGAGCTTTCTCAGCCCAGTCAAAAACATCTGCAGAAACGCCTCCAGCTGCCATTGCCCTCAAGGATGAGACGCTGATGAGGATGGCTGTTCTGACTCCGAGCTCAGCATTGGCCTGAGGGTTTCAGTCAGGGCAGCTGTATACAGAAAACAAAACCATACAGATCAGAAAGGAAAAAGGAAAACTCTTTTTTCACAAATAGTGTGAAAAATTAATTGTTCTCATTCTGGTAATGAGTCGTCAGAGGAAGTTTGAACAGTACGGCATCCTCCCTAAGTAGACTCAGCCCAGGACGAGAGTTGCACTGGACACTCACTGGTAACAAGAGACCATCGGGGTTCAGGTTCAGTCAAGTTCATAATATGAACGGAGCAGCCGGTCACTCGGGAACAGGCCAGTTCTTTCCTTTGGCTCAGGCTTTGTTGTTTGTCCGTTTTCATCCCAGGAGGAGGAGATCACTAAGGAGGAAATTGACATCCTCAGTGATGCCTGCTCTAAGCTGCAGGAGCAGAAGAAGTCACTCACCAAGGAGAAGGAGGAGCTGGAGCTGCTGAAGGAGGACGTGCAGGACTACAGCGAGGTGGGTGGGATTTGCTCCCGGGACTGAGGCTGCAGGAAGAGTAAAATTGCTGTACTGGCCCCGAAAGTATTACATCTTACTTCCGTCAGATACTTGATAAGCTGGGCGAAGAGTATTTGGAGAGGAAAGCAAATTATAAATAAATCTTATTAAGTAACTTTTTCATGGCCATTCTGGCTGGACCAGGCTTCTAGGACGTCGCTGTGTGCCATTCTGGCCACAGGTGTGTGTACATCTTTTTTTTTTGTTTGTTTTTTTGGAGACAAGGTCTTGCTGTATCGCCCAGGCTGGAGTGCCATGGCACAATTTCAGCTCACTGCGACCTCTGCCTCCTGAATTCAACAATTATTGTGCCTCAGCCTCCCAAGTAGCTGAGACTGTAAGCATGTGCCAACACACCCAGTTTAATTTTTGTATTTTTAGTACAGACAGGGCTTCACCATGTTGACCAGGCTGGTCTTGAATTCCTGGCCTCAAGTGATCCACCCCTCACCCTCCCAAAGTGCTGGGATTACAGGTGTGAGCCACTGCTCCTGGCCACATCTTTTAGTTTCTAAACATGGGAAGGTGTCTCATGAAGAGTTTGGTCACTTGATGATAAGATCTTATTCATGATTACCCAAAAGTGGCTTTTTTTCTTCCATGGTGATTCTTTTTCTTTTTTTGTAAATATTACTTTCTAATACAATTTTTTTAAAAAACTGTTTTTGGCCAGACACAGTGGCTCACGTCTGTAATCCCAGCACTTTGGGAGGCTGAGGCGGGTGGGTCACCTGAGGTCAGGAGTTCAAGACCAGCCTGGTCAACATGATAAAACCTGGTTTCTACTAAAAATGCAAAAATTAGCCGGGTGTGGTGATGTGCGCCTGTAATCCCAGCTACTTGGGAAGCTGAGGCAGAAGAATCATTTGAACCTGGGAGGCAGAGGTTGTAGTAAGCCAAGATTGCATCACACCATTGCACTCCAGCTTGGGCGACAAGAGTAAGACTCCATCTCAAAAAAAAAAAACAAAAAACTGTTTTCATAGCTCTGTTGGAAATCTGATTTTTCAATTGACAAAAATAATTTGCCATTTCTGGATTTATGACAGCCCTTGGGTTCTCCAACAGATGTGAGGTGCTTATCACCAGCTCAGCCTGTTCCTCCCATCCCCTCCCCCCCATTCTTCCTCATGGTGTTTACTAAAAAACAACTTGGAATTTAAAAGGACACTTAAGGTTGGACACTGGTGGCTCAGACTCGTAATCCCAGCACTTTGGGAAGTCAAAGCAGGAGGATCACTTGAGCTCAGGAGTTCAAGACCAACCTGAGCAACATGGTGAAACCCCGTTTCGGGAAAAAAAAAAACACAAAAATTAGCCAGGCATAATGGCACTTGCCTGTACTCCCAGCTACTCAAAAGACTGAGGCAGGAGGATCGCTTGGGAGTTGGAGGCTGGGAGTTGGAGGCTGCAATGAGTTGAGATCGTGCCACTTCATTCCAGCCTGGGCGACAGAGCAAGATTCTCCAACCCTATCTCAAAAAAAAAGACATTAAATTTCCTTGATTAATTCATTCACTTAATTTTTTCTTGGCTACTGTGAAGGAAATTGAGATTGATAGTAGAGTCTATGTCCTTCGCTTGCAAGGCAGTGTTTGTACAAAAATAAGAAATTTGTTTGCTAGAAATACAGTTTTTTTGTTTTTGTTTTTGTTTTTGAGACGGAGTTTCGCTCTTGTTACCCAGGCTGGAGTGCAATGGCGCGATCTCGGCTCACCACAACCTCTGCCTCCTGGGTTCAGGCAATTCTCCTGCCTCAGCCTCCTGAGTAGCTGGGATTATAGGCACGTGCCACCACGCCCAGCTAATTTTTTGTATTTTTAGTAGAGATGGGGTTTCACCATGTTGACCAGGATGGTCTTGATCTCTTGACCTCGTGATCCACCCGCCTCGGCCTCCCAAAGTGCTGGGATTACAGGCTTGAGCCACCGCGCCCGGCCCGAAATACAGTTTTATAACTTTCTCTGGTTCCAATTAATGTGTTTAATTACCTTTGCAAGTTAATTTAATAATAACTTTTTTTTTTTTGAGATAGGGTCTCGCTCTGTCACCCAGGCTGAAGTGTGGTGTGATCTTGACTCACTGCAGCCTCGATCTCCCAGGCTTAAGTGACCCTCCTGTCTCAGCCTCTGGGGTATCTGGGACTACAGGCATCCACTACCACACCTGGCTAATTTTTTGTTTGAATTTTAGTAGAGATGGGGTCTGGCTATGTTGCCCAGGCTGGCCTCAAACTCCTGTTCTTAAGTGATCCTTCTGCTTTGGCCTCCTAAAGTGCTGGGATTACAGGCATGAGCCACTGTGCCCAACCAGATTTTTTTTTTTTAAGACAGAGTCTTGCTCTGTTGCCCATGCTGGAGTGCATTGGCATGGTCTTGGCTCACTGCAGCCTCCACCTCCCGGGTTCAAGCGATTCTCCTGCCTCAGTTTCCTGAGTAGCTGGGATTACAGGTGCCCACCACCATGCCCAGCTAATTTCTGTGTTTTTTTTTTTTTTGGTAGAGATGGGGTTTCACCACATTGGCCAGGCTTGTCTTGAACTCCTAACCTCAGGTGATCCACCTGCCTCAGCTTCCCAAAGTGTTAAAATTGCAGGCATGAGCCACTGCCCCGGCCCCCCTCCTTTTTTTTTTAAGACAAACTTTACAACCAAAATAATTTTGTTAGGACTTGCAAGAGATCAAGAAGGAACTTTCAAAGACTGGTGAAGAGAAATATGTGGAAGAATCTAAAGCCAGCAAGAGATTGACGAAAAGGGTACAGCAGATGATCGGGCAGATCGACGGCTTGATCTCGCAGCTGGAAATGGACCAGCAGTCCGGCAAGCTGGCCCCGGCCAAGGGCGTGCCCACGGGGTGAGTGGGGTGGCAGGTGCGGGAGAGGGGTCGGGGGCTCACACAGGGAGGCTGGTCACTTTGCCTCATCCGAGCTGGGCCCTTCTGGTTCCAAAGAGTGCATCTTGGCCTCCACCTGGCTGCCTCTCCACCTTTGACCCAGCAGTCCCAGCCAGGGAGCCTCCGGGCATCTCACTCTCCGCATCCGAGAGCAGCTGGTACCTTCCTGGCCCTTCTTCCTCTTCCACAGCCCTCTCCCCTCCCACTCCAGCCTCAGCCTCTCTTGGCTTCTGTTTCCTCCAGCCTCTCTCTTGCTTCTCCCTCTCCCTGACCCCAGCCACGCTCAGTAGTGACACCAGCTCAGGCCGGTGGCTTTCTCTGTGCCCTGCATGTCCCAGCTTCCTGCCGCAGTGGCTGAGGGAGCCGCCATTGTGTGAGTCCCTCTTGGGTGAATGAAAACAGCTGTTGAGTAACAGCTGGTGTCCTGCAGGCTCCAAATCTCCATCCCCACACCCACAGCGTTGCAGGTGGGCTGCCCGTGGCACCCTGCTCATGCTCTTGTTTCTGCTCTTGGAGGCCCTCACCTGCCCAGGGCACCACAGCCTGCGTGATCATGAGTGCATTGCCAAGTGGCCCCAGGCCTGAGGACACTGCCCACTCTCCATGTCCCCAGAAGGGCAGCCACCAAGGGGGCAGACATGCCTGTGGAAACCCTGGACCTGGTGCTGTTTCCGTGTTTGTGTCCGTGCTGGCTCTGGGAGCTCTTGGCGGCAAATTCAGGATGGGATCACCCCTTGAGGGTCCGAGCTGGAGGTTGCCCAGCTCAGGCAGAGCCACCCGTGTCAGGGCTGATCACTTGCAGCCACAGTTGTGGGCGGTGTAGCCCGTGTGGCAGGACGGCTGCCCGTACCACATGCAGGCTGTGCCCCCACAGGGAGAACGTCATCAGTGTCGCTGAGCTCATCAGCGCCATGAAGCAAGTGAAGCACATTCCCGAAAGCAAGCTCACCAGCCTGGCCGCAGCACTGGATGAGAACAAGGACGGCAAGGTCAACATCGACGACCTCGTCAAGGTGGGCCTCACTGGGGACTGCTCGGGCCAGCGAGGTGCTCTGGGGTAGGGCAGAGGGGCTGTTGATTGCCTACCTGGCACTCTGTGGGCAGCTGCCCCCTCCTGTCAGGGTCAGGTCTGTCACTGCGACTGCTCCTTTAAGCTGCTGCTCTCCTGTGATACATCAAAAGTGATAAATTATTATTTGTTTGTTTATTGGGTTTTGTTTTTGTTTTTCTTCTGAGATGGAATTTCACTCTTGTTGCCCAGGCTGGAGTGCAAGTAGCTCGATCTCGGCTCACCACAATCTCCACTTCCTGGGTTCAAGCAATTCTTCTGCCTCAGCCTCCCAAGTAACTGGGATTACAGGCATGCGCCACCACACTTAGCTACTTTTGTATTTTTAGTAGAGACAGGGTTTCTCCATGTTGGTCAAGCTGGTCTTGAACTCCCGACCTCAGGTGGTCTGCCTGCCTCAGCCTCCCAAAGTGCTGGGATTATAGGCGTGAGCCACCGCGCCCGGCCATAAGTGAGAAATTATTGAGGTTACAAACTCATCAAGTGTTGAGACAACAAACACGCCTAGTAGGCATGCGTCTCACTGGATCCCACCCCCAGATGGTGCAGCTGGTGGCACAGGGGAGCCGGGGGGCGACAACATCTCTCAGGGGCCCCCAAGGCTGGGCTGAGCTACCAAGTGCAGCCACTGAAGGTTCCAGGGCAGCCCAGGAGACCCTGTCCCAGGATCCAGTTTCTGAGGGGACGCCGGGACTCTAGCCTGAGCTGTACATGCCCATTTTCCCAGTCACTCTGAGGGGACGCTGGGACTCTAGCCTGAGGGGAGCACGCCCATTTTCCCAGTCACTGACATCTCTGAGGGGAAGCTGCCTCGTGGCTCCCCAATGCGTGCATCAAGTTAGTGATTTTCCAGACATGTATTAGAAACATTGGCTGGTTTCTGTCAGTTCAGTTTGGAAGCAAGGATCAGACACATACTGCAGCCGCTCTTCCCTTCCTTGTTAATTTGGATGGCAGAGTGGGGACAAGGTCCCTGCATGTCACCACACTCTGCCCTGGGAAGCCATGGCCCAGGTCCCTGACCAGAGCAGGAACTTGACCCTGGCAGCCCCACTGTGCTGTCTGCCACCTGCCAAGGTGGCCCCCTGGCTCCTTTGTCCTCCCACTCTGAGCCCCTTCCCCAGGGCCTGTGGCATCCCCTGGGGGAATTGGTGCTCTGAGGCCCCTGGGGCCCACAGGCAGCGATTGTGTGCTGCTGCCACCCCAGCCTGGGCAGCTCAGGGCACCAGCCCCTCCTCACTGCTGTAGGGTGAAGCCGCCTGAGCCCCTCCCTTTCCCGTGTGTGTAGGTGATTGAGCTTGTGGACAAAGAAGATGTTCACGTCTCCACCAGCCAGGTGGCTGAGATTGTAGCAACACTGGAGAAAGAGGAGAAGGTGGAGGAGAAGGAGAAGGCCAAGGAGAAGGCGGAGAAGGAGGTCGCAGAGGTGAAGAGCTAGACCTGCTGGCCTGGGCGCCCGTCCTCCTGCTGTGCCGCTGCCCTGGTGAGGGCCGTGAGAACGATTGCTTTGTGGTGATTCTTAGTGGCTCGTCCAATACTTTGGCTGGAATAAATCGGAGACTTCCATAATCAAGTAAATTTTAATTTTCATCATTCCATGGAGATTAAATCTGTCCGGAATCCCGGAACCCCTCCACAGAATCATGTCTGGATCCACACGGTGGTGTGGCTGCCACGGCCTCCTGGATCCAGAGGCAGCGGGCCAGGCCACGCCGGGTTAGGAAGGCACCCCCCTGCGTGTGCCCTCACGTCTCAGCATCTCACTGTGCTGCCCTGTTCCAGGGAGGAGAATGAGGACCACGTGGACTCCACCCACACGGGCTGGCAGCCGTGCCCACCCTCAGAGGTGTCAGGAGACACAGGCCAGCCTCCTCAGGGCTAGATGCCTCCACTCACCTGTGGACCCTGATTTCTAGATTTCAGCCTCAGTAGACCTGGCTTCCTGCACACTTACAGTTGGATCTGGGTCACCGTGGAGACAGAGGTGTCCGCCATCTCCCCGGCCTGTGGAGAGTGACGTCTTCCTGCTGGGCATGCCAGTTCTCACGTGGGCTTTCCCTTGTGTTTCAGAGCGCTTTCTTGACTATTTTCCCCTGATTCATTAAGCAGTCTGTTGGCACAGTTTTCCCACACCGATCTGCCTGCCTCAAGAGCATATCTGACCCAAGCCAAGCCGTGCGACTCCGATGCAGCCCTGGCCGTGGGGCTCCCTTGGGTGGTGCTTGGGCTGCGTGCCAGGTGGGCTGCAGTGGATTCACTGTTTCAGGGATGAGCCTGGCTCAGGGTTGGTGGGGCTCTGAAGCGCATATGGGGTTCTTTGTAGCTTCTAATTCGAGGTTTAAGTCCGGTGTGCCTGCAGCCATCCACCCTTCTCACCTTTTACGGTGTTGCAGGCTCAGGCCCTTGGGCTCCTCTAACAAGCAGGCTGGTCACCGAGGCATGAGGATACGCACAGGGCATCCCTGGGGTCTTCGAGGGCGACTCCTCCAGTGCCAGGGTTTGCTCTGTGCCATCTGGGTGGAGCTGGCGGCCTCCCCGCACTCCACAGCATGGTCAGGCTGGCCAGGGCATGGGCACGTGGCATCCTGCGGCCACCTCCACCCTCCTGCCCAGCCACGGTGTCACACTCATCTTTTTAAGTTCAGGTTGGTTCCTGGCAAAAATGTCCCTCCTGGGGGCCTCCAAGCATAGGATTTGGAAGACAGAGGAACAGCACGGGCAGCCGGGAGAGCAGCTGCGCTCAGACGAGGCCTTCTCCATTACTTGAAGCTTCTTTTTGTTCAGCCATTAAAGAAACTTGACAAAATAGGAACAGGAGATAGTTCTCTATTGTAAACCTTTGCACAGGGACAGTTGGCTTCTAAAGGCCTTCAGATTTCAATTATTTGAGAAAGAAGTTTGTTTTAGATCCTTAATATTTATGAATTCTCTCACCGTGTGTAAGTAGCCTGGTGTTCGTGTGTCTAAGTGTGCTTGACAACAAGCCTTGTAGTTGCCGGGTGTGCGCAGACGCCTCCCTGTGAGCTGCGTCCCGGCTGCCAGCTGCCCCGGCTCTTCCTCGTCCTCACTGCCTTGGCAGAGCACTGTTGATGTGAACAGCCACTGCCATGGGCAACCCGTTCCACTGTCCCCTCTGCCCCGGGCTCCGCATGGTCTTGGGAAGCCGGCTTGCCCTCTGGGTGCTGTGGGAGCTTGGCAGTGGGGAAGGCTCTGGTGGGTACCTTTGGCGGCTTCCTTGGTGTCAGCCGTGCTCAATGCAGGCTTCCTTCCTCATCATCCTCCCTCGTCATTCTGTGTGTGTTTTCTGCATGTCCTGACCTTTCTTCGTTGCAGCTAAAAGTGGTGTCTGGGTGCAAATGTAAGCAATGGTGGATCTGGAAATAAGAGCTTTGTGTAATAAGGTTCTTTTTTTTTTTTGGAGATGGCGTTTCGCTCTTGTTACCCAGGCTGGAGTGCAATGGCACGATCTCGGCTCACTGCAACCTCCACCTCCTGGGTTCAGGCAATTCTCCTGCCTCAGC